ATAAATGTTATCAAAATGAATTTCTTTTAGCGTATTTAATTAAAACTAGAGGGCTGTACCTTAAAACAAGTTATGTGCTAGTTAGGTAATGGAACTTACAATTTATATGAATGTTATTCATGGGTGGTCAAAACATTCTGGTGAATGCTATACATTGCTTCGACCCAGCACAAGATCCATAACATGCTGTTTCAGTAACCTCATAAAGTTCTAACTTAGTTACTGTAACGTTAAAAGGTTTGTGTTATAAACCCCTGATTAAAAGGCGTGACTTGACTCCAGCTGTCCAAGACGGCGGCAATCCAAGGGGTGACGGTTCCCGTGAAGTGAACACACAGAACTTGACGGTCTGCGGTGTCGTGCCACGGGTGGCCCAGGGACACGCCCGCTAGGCGCCAGCCCGCCGGGCCGCGACACAGCAGCGGGCTGCCCGGGCTCACCACCCGAAAGCTGTCCCTGCCCAGGGCGCAGACGAGGGGCGCGAGGAACGGGCACTCTGAGGGGCCACTGTAACGGCGAGTCAAGTTGGCATGCCCTGGACCATAAGACAAGGCCGTCTAGTAATGAAAAGTTGTGGAATAAATGTAATAGGGCTGCCTTACGAAAGAAAAGGACACTTGCCCGCATTCTTGCAGTGCACTGATCCTTTCTGTGGTCAGACGCACTACTTCAGGCCACGAGTTATCTTACACAGACCATCGTAACTGTGTCCTGAGGGCAGGCACTCTGCGTAGTCGAGCACGGTGTCCTGCCTCAACGTCGTCGTCGGAATCAAATTTGGGGGGCAGGCATGCTGCAGGCCGCCCTGGGCCTCGGGCAGGACCTCGGACAGCAACAGGAGCGCAAAGCCCGCGTCGTTGATCAGCGCCACCTCCCGCACCTCCACATCGCAGTGCTGTCGACCGACGGCGTCCACGGCGCGTGAACTGCACGCCATCCGGGAGTTGTTCGGCGCGCTGTCCACGACGACGCCCGGGGAGAGGGACACGCCAGACACGCGCACCCTGGAGCCGCGGAGAAGGACCTGCAACCGGCTCAGCAGGGCGCCCATGCTCACGAAGCCGTTGGCCGGCCAGGGGTGGTCCTCAGAGAGAACAGGAGTTGTCTGTGGTGGTCCTCGCCGGCAGGCGGAGGCACGGTGGCGGGGGCGGCGGGCACATGCGCGAAGGACGAGGAGTCGAGGAGTTGCCGCCAGCCGGTCCAGGTACGGCATAGGCGTTCCCACGAAGCCCGTCGCGGATCAGCCACAGCACTACGGGGGCCAGCAGGAAGGCAAGCACGTTGGCGCCCAGCAACATCGTGCAGCTACAACAGGCCACGCGCCTGGTGGTCAGGCAACCCATTCGGCACCGATCCCTGCCAGCCACCGGCTGGGGGTACATGAGACTATACTGGACAGAGACTAGAAAACCTGAGACTGGACTTGAGACGGACTTGAGACGGACATGAGACTGGACATGAGACCGGACATGACCTCGGTCGGGGGTCACCATGGGCAAAGTCTCATGTCTGTCTCATGTCTGTCTCATGTCTGGAGACATGAGACTTCTGTCCGAGACATGAGACAGACATGAGACTTTGCCCATGGTGCCCCCCGACCGAGGTCATGTCCGGTCTCATGTCCAGTCTCATGTCCGTCTCATGTCCGTCTCAGGTCCAGTCTCAGGTTTTCTAGTCTCTGTCCAGTATAGTCTCATGTACCCCCAGCCCAGCCACCAACCTTGCAGCCAACTGACTCCGCCGAGACTTTGGTAATGTTCCTATTCTTTGAAAGTGACGATCAAAATTCGAACAATTAAATAATGCTCTACTCTACCGCTCGCCAAGCATCCAATCTTGAGGCTGCAAAGAACTTCCCATTCATCGAACGGAAACCGAACAAGACAACGGGAATGAACGAGCAATCAAAGTGAACAAAAGTACCAGCTGTTCGAAAAATTCGCGAATCCACCCGAGTTTACACTATCACTTGCCACTCACCTGCCATTAAGCTCGCTTTGACGGGGTTGGCGGAAACAACACCATAACAATGTCGCCACTCTGCACCACTGCCCGGCGCGTTGACTGACTGCCTGATAAGCCTTCCCTGCCGTCCCCACCCTCTTCCGAGTCATCTCATGACCTTCCGTCTTGACCCCGTAAGTTTCGTGACCGCGTAGGCGGTACTATAGCGCGTCTGAAGAACGGGACGTGGATCCCCGCGCGCCGCGCCCCTGCCGCCGCCAGCAAAGCGTGGCCGCGGGTTGGGCTGCATAACCATCGGGCTGATGAGAACGCGACCAGGGCAACCCTTTGAACCACGAAGCAACAAGTTTTCAAAGAGCAAATTAAGTGTAAAATTCTAAGCCATTTACGGCGTTTTGTAGTCTGCGCCGCGGTAGAGCAATTTTCGACACACTTATCGCCCTTTTTCTATACTTCCAGTATTTAATAGCAATTTCTCATACCAGGAACTCTTTCGTCTTGTCTTGCCTGTTTTCGGATTTCGGCGCGCAAGATTGGTGACCGTTGGATGGTGGACTATTTCTTCCCTTGATAATGATGTAATAGTGTGAGTGTTTGTTTTCCTTTATGTTGTATGTTGTGGTGGTTAGAGAATCCTACTTATCCCTCTTTCGAAACGTCCTTCGAATGTTACCAAAAAGTTCCCCATCCTCAACCTTTCCTTCTAGTGAAACTCGTCTGTAACCTCAAAATTAGACGTTATCTCCGAACTTCCTTCTCCCAGAACTAGCACTAAAGTCATAGCGTTTTTGGTAAAATTCACGCTCTATTTGACAAATAAAACCGCATTGTCCAGTAACCTTACCAGGAACCTTTCCAGGAACCTTTCCACTAACTTTCTAGTGTCGTGGTCTATCTTGCTATTAAGGTTGTTTGTCTATGGTGATATTCTTAATTTGTTTCAGGCTGGAAGGTCTGTAGGTGACAGCAACAAGCCTGACAAGTGCAAGGTCCAATTCAACAACTCTGTGTGTTTGTTGGTACGTATCTTCACTTTTCACTGTTATAAGTAACACTTGTCTCACTACTTGTGTGTAAGGAAAAGTACGGCAATAGCTGCAGTGCTTTTGGATGAATAAGTGAGGCATCAGTCAGTCGCACTATTTTTAAGATGGAGAATGTCATTCGTTGTTTTACGAAACTGTACTGTTGATTTTAGAAATGTTTCTGATGACTTGTAATTTTAACTCATAATAACTCTTGAATCCTCAATACCATATTCAATAATGACACTTTATTTCTAATTGTTTTTATTCATGGACTCTATGGAAAGGATTTTGCATGTATGATCAGATTAATTTAAGACATGGAAGATGTGCGAAGGACATTCCAGCAACTATGCCCAACCTTCGCTCCACTCACTAGGGTTGGGGCCACAGTGTGTCCATACCGTGCACGAGTATGACTCCGCAGTTCGTTCAGCCCCCTCCGCGGTTTGCGGCCGGCTCCCCGCTTTCCCCCCATCCCCTGCCCCATCCGTCGACCTGTTGCACCCACCCCCACCCTGAGCCAACAGAGCGCAGCCGGCCAACGCCAACGATGTTTTGATCCCCAGAAAGTGGGGCGACGCATCTCAGGATTCAGTCATGTTGGCGACGTCTGCGCGCTATAGAGCTGCCGAGAACAGTTGTCTTGTCGCGATGTGATGTGGTCGTGTCCTGAGTACAGCAGTAGTGCCGACCAACCTGGCCCCCTGGAACGAGTCATCGGCGCGCGAAACTCATAAGGGGCTGGGATTGCGGGTGAATCTGGGCGAGTAGGTGTAGGGTGGAAAGAGAGGAGAAGGGCTCGGGGAAGGGCCAGCCGGGAAGGGGTGGAGGTGAAGGGGTGGAGGCGAAGCGAAGGGGTGGAGGTGGAGGGGAGACACGCCCACGCTCGGCCAATTACTCACCGCCTCGTTTTATTTTTCGTCCCTTCCTCCGACGGCGGCCCTTCCCCCCCTCCCCGTCTCTCTTTCTCTCATCCTGCAGCAGACCCTTCCCTTCGCCCCCTCCTCCTCCCCGTTCTCAAGGCGCGACGCCACAAAGTAAACAGCGACCGTCGCGCACCACTGTGGCGAAATGTCGCCGTCGCAAAATTGTGGCTCATCCTCACGAGCGCGGGAAAGCGATTTATTTTGCGAAATTTCAATCTTGTAATCTTTGTTATTGGAAAGCGTTTCTGCGAAAGAAGGCGCGCAGCACCGGGCGAGAAAAACAAGTCGGTAGGAGCATTGGGGTGCTTGAACCTCCGCCAGGCCAAGGGGCCCCGTGGTTGTTGGGAGCGCAGCAGCGCCTCTGACGTATCGTCGCACGGTCCGTAAATCCTTCCAAAACGCCCGCTCTTTCGATTTTGTCGCGTTACACCACTACTTCGGTGGTCGGGAGCTGGGGGTGCGGGCGTCACTCGTGCCGTGATGGATCGGGGGGAGAGGGCGTGTGTGCGTGTGCCGAGGACTAGGGTTGTCACCACGTTCCGCCCGCGGGGCGCCGGCGGCGACCGTCAGGACGAGGTGGCATCCTAGGATACGCGCTCGTAGATCAACGTGGAATCAAAACCAATCCCTCACACCTCACCTTCTAGGTGAAGGGTTTACGGGGGAGGGGGGGGGGCTGTCTCCTCCACGGTCTAGCTGGTGCCAATGAAAAATACACCGAGTGGACGATATGGCTGACGTGCGCGCGTGTGTGTGTGTACGGATGTGTGTCTTCCCCGTCATAGTTACAAATTAAGTCCGTCGTGCTAGAAAAATGGACAGTAATTTATTTGTTTCGGTTCAAATGGCCCCTACTGTAGTGCCATTAGCTGCATCAGAGTGTGTGACCCTCAACGTCGTCGTCGGAATCAAATTTGGGAGTTGCTCGCCTGCTCGGCCCCGCTCAGCCCCGCCACCC